ATACTTCACTGTGAATACCCATCGACATCCGACTATCTCCTTGTCTGGGAGGAGATCAACTATTTCCCAAGTTTGGTTTTTGACCAAAGCATCCATCTCATCTTGCATGGTTGTTTTCCACTCAGGTTTGGAGAGAGCCTCAATAACATTCCTGGGTATAGACACAGAATCCAGGGAAGAAAGAAAAGCATGGTAGGAGAGTGATAAGGCATTGTAGGAAAGATGGTGTGAAATGCAATGGGCTGTACACTTTCTCTTCCCCTTACGAAGTGCAATGGAAAGATCAAGATCAATGGGATCAGCTGTAACAATGGTGTTAGGGACAGAAACATTATCATCAGAAAACATAATAGACTCAAGAGGAATACCTAGAACTGTATCTTCCGAATCTGGAGTTTCAGAAGGACTGACAGAGAGTGGTGTGGGTCGAGGATGTGTGGAGTCAACCATCATCTGCCGGCGTTGATATTACTGTGAGGCTGCCCGTAGTGGCTTAGGTAATGAAACTGGAGGTGCAGGTGTTGGCTGAACCGATGCTGGCTGAACTGATGGTGTAGGTGGTGGCTAAACTGATGTAGATGCTGGCTGAACTGATGGAGGCACCATAGAAACAGGAAGAGGAACAGATTGTGAGTTCTCCTCCCCAAAACTCTCCCCCTGAGGAGAACCACTCGAGAAGAATGTGGATTGAAAAAAGGTAGCATCCATAGTGACAAATCTGCTCCTCGACACTGGGTCATAACAACAATACCCCTTTTTGTTCTGAGCATACCCAAGAAAAACACATTTCTTGGCCTTAGGATCCAATTTCTGCGATGAGGGCCAAGAATGTGAACAAAATAAACACAACCAAAAACCCTCAGAGGTATATGAAATATCTTTCCATCTGAAAAAAGGAGGCTAAATGGCACCTTATCTGTTATGAAGATTATACCCCTCCATCCCATTAGAATTCTTCTGCTTTGCTTGAACTCCCCTCACTGCCCCCTTCTCCCACGTCACTTCCTTGCTAGATTCATCCCAACCCTCAGTACAAGGCATAGGAACTGGAACTACTTCATTACTAAGAAGACCAGCTTTCAATGATGTCACTTGTGTGACCCAACCCCGTCTCTGAATCAACCTCCTCAACTATCTTTGTCACAACCTCCATCCCAGACACCATTGAGAGAACTTTCAAAGTATTGAACATGCAAAGGCTGTACCACAAAGATAAGCTCACCCCCATTCGAACCACCTACCTCCTACAACTGAACCTACTGCCTAACTCTCCACGAACCAGCCTCACTATTTTCACCAGCAATGTCTTCCACCTGATAGCACCCTGCACCATGTTCATTGCAAAAGGTGTGATACCTTTCCTTTCTCTCTTTTCTTCAGCACTATCTTCTACTTCCTACCTTTCTTGTACCTTGTAACAGCCCAAACCCACTCATTCGAAAATCCTTTCTCCTTGACACTATCCCTACCACAAATCAAATCCTTTGCCCCAAAAGATTTTTTTCTCCCCTCCTCCTATCTTACCCCTCCCTCTAAACCTTCAAATTCTTCCACCATTTGTTTCCTTTCAAAACTTTTGTTTTTTTTTCTTCTTGAAGTGATCCTCACTCAGGCCTCTCAAATCCGTATTACCCACTACCACCCATTCCCCTTCTATTGAAATCTTCTCATTTGACTTTGATCTTTCACACTCACATCACCCTCACCTCCCCACATGTCCCTCTTGATGTAAATCCAACTCAAATTTTTCCTCTGAACTTCCTACTTTACCCTTCAAACATGCCACCTCATTGTCATCCACCTTTGATTGACTCTTCATCTCCCTACCCTACTCTGTTCTACAACTCTGATTCTTCCCACTATTTCTCCCCCTAGCTTATCCAAATCAACCTCTCCACCAGGCTCTTTCATGTCTGCCCTCAAGAAAGTCTCTTCCTCCCCTTCTAAAGTTAGCCTCAACTCATAGTTCTCCCTAGAAAACTAAAGTTCCATCTTGTTCAGTCGAGTAGAAACCTCCTCCACTTCCACCAATATTCTAGCTATGTCCAACCTTTCCCAAGTCCTATTCCTATCATCATATTTTAGGAGCTT